GTTCCTACTTCCTGTCTTCTCTGTTCCTACTTCCTGTCCTCTCTGTTCCTACTTCCTGTCCTCTCTGTTTCTACTTCCTGTCCTCTCAAACCAGCCGGTCGAAACAGATGGTCGCTCGTCCTGATCCTGGTTCTGTTGGAGGTTTCTTCCTGTTAAAGGCAGTTTTTTCTTCCCACTGTCTCCTCTGTTCTTGCTCAGGATGAGAGACTGTGATGAAGTGAAGAGTCAACACGACCTGCTGCTTCCTCAGATACAGAACTTTTACTGCGTGTCTTTTATAAATTGTGTGAAAGTTTCTGTTCAGTGTCCTGAGACGACTCCTGTTGGAGCTTCAGAATAAACTGAAATGAATTATTATCTGAGTCTTACGCCTGAAACATACTTTGAGCACAACGTTGCAGAGCAGCAGCCTCAGCCAGCTGACCTTATCTTACAGACGACCAGCAACTCGGAGACGCTGCTGACAGTGTGGTAGTAGCTGAGAGTGATTCCATACTCATATTCTGAGGGCTAACTGATCAAGCAAGTTATCACAAAATGGCACAAGTCTGAACACAATGTTTGAACATCTGTAAATTCTTCTCAGCGTAACACGGTCGTATGTAGAAAGGAGGCGGGCGACGTGCATTCCTTCAAGGAATTCTACAAAAGAAAGTCCTAAAAGTTGATTCAACCCCCAGTTTTTCATCAGAAACGTCCCAGTTTAACCACAGCCTTGTTTCCTTCTTCAGAAACAACTGGTCCGAACGTGATAAATCCTTTTTACTGTCACATCCTGAGTTTCTCGTTGAAACGGAGTCGGTTTCAGTCTTTGATTTCCAGCGGTGTTGTTATTTCGCCTCGGGGTGATGTCACCGTGGGCCGACACAACACTGTCCTCTCATTTACTGCAGTAACACCAACAAACCGTGGAAACTCCAGAGTGAAGCTCAAAGCCCCGAATAGCTGCCCCCCCCCCCCCCCCGACAAGATCCATGACACAGGAGCGACGGGAAGGTTCAAACACCCAGAAGATGACACCTGGACAGAGACAGGTTCTGTCAGCTGCTAGTGAGCAGGACAACTGGGAGCAGCTGTCCTGACGGGGTCCAACTGCGTCTCTCTGGGTTTGGATCAGCGGTTTCAGGGTCTGGACTCCACTGTACTTCACTAAACTGGGAATGCAAATATATTGATCTCCCAGAATATGCAGAACAAGAATCCCATTAAACGGACGAGGCAAGTGGAAAATGTGAAACGGTCAAAACATTGAAACTGGACAAATTAACAGGATTAAATGAAAATAAGGATTTATTTCACTTTGTGACGTCTGAAAGTGTTGTGGTTGTAACGGTCTCTGGCTGCATCTGTCCAGGACCTGATGGAGCGGGTGGGGGTCCTTTACGATGGCCTTAAGCTTTGACAACATCCTCTTTTGCACCACCTCAGACCGTGAGTCCGTCTCTCAGCAGAAGGACGACATCAGTCTCCTCAGAAAACAGAGGAGGCTCTGTCCCGTCCTGTAAACGGCCTCGGAGGTTCTGGTCCGGTCCAGTTTAGTGACATCAACGTCTTCTTCTGCTGCTATTTATCCATCGGGTCGTGGAGACAGCAGGTCCAGGAAAGACACTTTCCAGCTCGTCCTGGAGGACCCCGAGGCGTTCCCAGGCCAGAGACGATCCAGCATCCCCCCAGAGTTTTCTGGGTCTTCTTCAGGACCTCCTAGTCCCGATCAGGTGAACCTCCTCAGCTGACTCCTCTGGATGCGGAGGAGCAGACATGAAATGAACATGTCGATTATAAACTTGTCCGAAGAACATGAACATTTTCCTTAAAATATGTGAAACGTTCATTCAACCTTTATTCCTACAGGTTAGTCGCACTGAGCCTCGAGGACTCGTTGACAACAGAGACCTGAACAGGTGAAAGAGAAAATGGGCCTGACTGTTGAAGAAGCATGACCAGTCCATCAAAATGAATCAAACAGGAACAAAATGTTGATGATTATTAAATGGATCAACGTTTGATTGACACATGACTTCAGAGATCAAAAGGTTTCTGATGATTCTTTAAACCTGACATCTGCAATAAATCACTTTCTGTTTCTGCCCTTTAGTGTAAAACATGACGTGAAGATAATGAGTAATGAGAATCAGACGTGTCCCCACAGCTTGGGTGAAATGAGAAACTCATTCCAGTCGTTGTTTTAGAAGCTGACACAAAGTTTCATCTGAATAATCTTCAACAGACTCCCAAAGATCCAGTGGAACTCCGTTCTGTGTTCATGAAGCGCTCACTGTCATCCAGTTTTCCAACACGTTTCTCAGCATCTTTCTCGTCCCACAGTTTTCAAACTATTTCTACAAATCAAAACGTTCGGCTCTTTCAGGAAAATCCTGCTGTGACGTCTGGTATCGGTGCAGCTTTAGCTTTTTGAAACATTTAGCCTTTTCTGACATTTTTCTCTCACAGAAAATGAATTGAGCTCATTTTACCTCCTTCAGATCTTTAGATCTGTTCACAACCTTTTACTGCTCCTTTCACATTTTGTTCTGCTTCAGCTTCTTTCAGCTTCCTGATGCTAACTTAAACTTTTTCCAGCTGTTTTTCAGCTGTTTTTTGCTCCTTTCAGATTATTTCTGTTAACTACATGTTTGTGCTTCTTCTAACTTTTTTCTGCTAATTTCAGCTCGTTATGTTCCTTTCAGCTGTTTTCTGCTAGTTTAAGCTTTTCTTCAATTTCAGTTACTATTTAGCTGTTTTATGTTAATTTTAGCATTTTCAGCTAATTCCACATTTTTTGCACTTATTTCAACTTTTTTTCAATCTAATTCAGCAAAAATGTGCTCTCCCCACTTCCTTCTGGTAATTTCAGCTTATTTCTGCTAGTTTCAGTTATTTCAGCTATTAGCTGTTTTTATGCTAAGTTTAGCTTTTTCATCTAATTCCAAATTTAAGTTAGCTCGTTTAATCTTGTTCCACTTCCTTCTGGTAGTTTCAGCTTCTTTCTGCCCTTTTCATCTACTTTTAAGATTTTTTTTTTGTCTAATTTCAGCTCTTTTTTAGCTAATTTCCTCATTTTTGTGCTAATTTCTGCATATTTAAACCTAATTAAGCAAACGTGTTTTTTCTGCTTTCTTCTTCTAATTTATGCTTGTTCTTCAATTTAAGCTACATTTCAGCATGTTTTTAGCTAACTTCAGCTGTTTACCAGGAAGTTTTTCAGCAGTGAGCATTCACAGTGCATTCTGCAGGAAATGCAGTTTTCTACTTAGACATGGTTTCTGTTTCTCAGCAGATGGAAAGAAGCTCGAGCTCAAACTCAGCTGCAGGTTGTTTTTGTCGTTGTGAGTTTTATGTCGGTTTGAAGAAGTTTGTCTTTAATTCAGTCATTCCAGTTTGTTTTAGTCTGCTTTGACTCGGGATCTTCATGTTCTCTTTGGTTGGATTCTGCGATGGTTTTCTCTGGACATTCTGGTCCCATGATGTCACTTTTC